CCCACCCGGGACCCGGGGGATCCCACCCGGGACAGGACCTGTGTGATCAAATCCATCCCTGCCAGGACCTGTGGAAGCGATGCCGGCGCTCGGCTGCCCCCAAAGCCGCTCCTTTCCCCCCAGAAGAGCGCTGGGATTCGCGGGGATTGGGGTGAGGGGCTGGGAAACGGAGACCTCAGCCTCGCAATAAAAGTTTGGCCTTGAGACATCCTCTGGTTTTAACCAAACCCATCGTTTTTGGCACTGGGAATGGCAATCCGAGCGGGGATGCGCTTCTCCAGGTGAGAGGAGAAGCCAGATCCAGGGATTTCCCAGCTCCGGAGCAGCACAAAGCTCAGGCAGGGTTGGGAGAGGTTTTTTGGGATGTTTTTTGGGTAAAACCAAGCCCGGAGCTGCAGCCGGGCTCGGACGGGAGATGGAGCTGTTGGTCCGGGATTCCCGAGCCCGCCGGGATAAAACCGGCCCCGGCCGGGGTCTGGGCTCCTGCTGCACCCCAAGCCTCCAAATCAGAATATTCCTCCTCCAGCTCCCTGCAAACCGGGCACCGAAATTCCCCTTTTTACGGCTTTTTCCAGGCAGGAAACACGGATCCAACTGGTCTGCCTGGGTGGGGATGTTTAATTGGGGAGATGGGCTGTATGCTGAGAGAGTGGGAGAAAACTCTGAAAAAAACACCTCAGATTTTATGGTATTTACATTTTTGGGGGGGGGGGTATTTACACTTTGGGGTGTATTTGGGGGGATGCCAAGAGCTGTGTGATGAGAGATTTGGAGAAAACTCTAAAAAAACACCTCAGATTTTATTGTATGTACACTTTGGAGGAGTTTTTACACTTTGGGGGGGTTTTTACACTTTGGGGCGTACTTACATTTTGGGGGGGTATTTAAATTTTGGGGGGTATTTACTTTCTGGGGGGTATTTACATTTTGGGGGGATATTTACTTTTGGGGAGTTATTTACTTTTGGGGGGTATTTACATTTTGGGGTGTATTTATTACCACCCTGGTAAATCAGAACCTCCTCCGTGCGTGGCTCCTGTGCACGCTGCAGGATTTGGAGTGTTTAGCTCATTAATTAATTAATTTCTCTGCTTCAGCAGATCTCTGCAGAGGGGTAATTTGATCCAGCCGTCCCTAAAGGACACAAAAGTTCAGAGTGTCGCCTCACTTGGGTGTTCCCAGAGCCAGGAAAGTTCTGACCTTCCCTGCTGAGCTCCAAAAATCCCCGTGGAGGGTTAAAAAACCGGGGTGCTGCGTGTGCAGGGAGAGGAAAATGTTATTTTTGAGCTCCTCTGAGCATTGCCAATGTGTTTCCCATGACTGGGAGGGAGGGAATTGAAGGTTTTGGGGTTAAAAATGAGAAATTTGTAGTCAAACCCTCCCTAGGGGAGTTCACGGTGCAAGTGCTGGGTGCCTCTTCCTGGAAATATCCATGAGTTCATCTCGGGAAATGTGGGGGCTTAAAACGAATTCATTTTTTCCCCTTCCTTTGGATGAGGTGAAGTTTTTCCTTCCTGCTTTTGGGGGAATTTCTCCTCCTCCCAAGGGGCTGCAGCTGGTGAGAGCCGGGGCTGGAGGAGGAGGGGTCCTGCTGTTGTGAAATGCAAATAAATGGAAATAAATCCCTTGGAGAGCGATTGGCACCGAGCCTGGGCAGCTCGGGGGGGGCTCTGCCCTCGGCCCCGCTCAGGTGAGACCCCACCTGCAGCGCGTGGAGCCCACCTGGAGCCGGGCTGGGAGAGCTGGGAATGGTCCCCCGGAGAAGGGAAGGACCCAGAGAGAGATGGGAATGTTCCCCTGGAGAAGGGAAGGATCCAGAGAGAGATGGGAATGTTCCCCTGGAGAAGGGAAGGATCCAGGGAGAGCTTCCAGCACATTCCAGGGCCTGCAGGGGCTCCAGGAGAGCTGGAGAGGGATTTGGGATAAGGGATGGAAGGACAGGACACAGGGAATGGCTTCCCACTGGGAAAGGAGAGATTGAGATGGGATTTTGGGATGGAATGAGAACGGGGAGGGGCTGGGATGGAATTCCCAGAGGAGCTGAGGCTGCCCCATCCCTGGCAGTGCCCAAGGCCAGGCTGGAGCACCTGGGACAGGGGGAGCTGTCCCTGCCATGGCAGGGGTGGCACTGGGTGGGATTTAAGGTCCCTCCCAACCCAAACCACTCCAGGATTCCATAATAAAGCATCCAGGATCCCAGGATGAAGCAGGGCTTGGGTCGGGCTTAACGCCACCGAAACAGCAAATGTAAAAACTCCTTTATTAGAACAGAAACTGGAATTAGACAGAAATTAGAAAACTCCTCTCGGACTGCAGCGGTGCCATCGGTGGGAGCAGAGGGGGAGAAAACTGGGACTGTGGGGATTGGGCCAGATTTGGTGCTGGAAGGGAACAAAATCTCCTTCAGGCCGGGGAGAGGGGACGGGGGAGGGCGGAAATGCAGAAAATGCAGAAATTCGGGAAATGCAGAAATGCGGGAAATGCAGAAATGCCGCGGGGGCTGGCACACAAAGGAGGCTGCCGGGCACCTTGGCTTGATCCGTTTTAATTTGTACCAGACGTGGAACACTTAGAAAAGGCTCAGCACGGCAAATCCCGGGCGGGCATGCAGCGTGACAGGTTACAAAACATCCGCGAAAGGACGGGGCACCTCAAAGCCCTGCTTCTCCGGTGGCTGTCCTGAAAGGCTTCTTTGCTCTCTCTTTATAGATATTTATATTTATATATATAATATATATCTTCACTTAGCTTACACCGATGCAAAAAGGGGAACAACAACAAAAAAAAAAAATCTCATTTAGGACAGTGTTATTCAGTGCCTTGCAAAAATAAAATACACGAGAGATATTAAACGCAGCGCCGCGGGTGTTACAGCTCGTCCCCAGCCCAGCATCCACACGAGAAGCAAGAATTTCACCCGTTGCTTCCACAGGGCAAAGGAATGACTCACAAATGTGACTTTTTTGGAAAGCATCTCCCTTCCCAGGCCCGTTTTTCCCGATGCTGTTTGCTGTACCGGCGTGCTTTAGCTGGTTTCAGTCTCTTGCTACGTGCCTGACCCCCCTGAGAAATCCTTTGTGCTGCATTTGAACGTCCTTTAGGCCCAGGTGCTGAAGCATGAACACGACTCGTCACCCGGAGCATCCAAACTAGCTTTTTCCCGGGCTGTAACACCATTTTGGGGGTGTTTAGGGCATTCAGCAGCACTTTCTGCCTCTAAAGACCGACTGGTGCCTCATCCTGGCTGTGGCAGGGAGTAAAAAACGATTTTATTTTGGTGTGTTGCTGCAGGGGGGTTTTGCAGCATGCAGGGTGTGGAGCTCCTTATGTACAAGGGGAAGGGGCTTTTTTTTAGGATGGAACGGTTCAAATTGCAACCTGGCAGCTTGAAAAACCCCCTCTGAGACCCCCGGGGGCTGAGATTAAACCCTGCCTGTTAACCAAGAGGATTTTTGGAAAAGCTCCTGCCAAGGAGAGCTCCCCCTCTGCCCGGTCCCTCTCGGGGTGGCCCCGAGGAGGAGGAGGAGGCGAAGGCCGCGGCTCTGGCCTCCGCGTTTGGGGCAGAAAAGCAAATTTTCATCCCGTCGCCTAAACCGGAGGCGCCGGCGAGCGCCCAGGGGGCTCCTCACCAAAACCAACCGAGAGCGGGGGGACCCCACGGGGGACACGGGTGACACCAGGAAGGCGCGGGGCGCTCTTAGTGCAGGGCGAAGAGGACGAGGAGCAGCAGGGCGGGCAGCGAGGCGTCGGCCAGGCGCTGCCGCACGCCCGAGGCCAGCCGGTACTCCTGGTACTGCTGGATGCACATCTCGCGGATCACCTTGGTCACCACGCGCGTCTCCAGCTCAGCCTCCGTCTGGTTGAGGGCCGCGCCGGCCTCCGAGGCGTTCTTCCTGGCGGCGGGGCCGATGTTGTGCTCGGTGACGGTGATGTTGAAGCAGTCGGCCACGAAGACGTCCTGCGGCACCGGGCCGCGCTGGTCGCGGTAGTCGCGGTAGTAGACTTGGTTGGGGTAGCGCGCGGCGTTCTGGTTCCACCAGCGGTACTCGTCGGGGCTGTCGAAGCTGTAGTGCATCCCCGACATCACCCTGCCCATGGCGTAGCCCCCCAAGCCCCCCACCACGGCGCCCGCCGCCGCCGCGCCCGCCACGTGCTTGAAGTTGGTCTTGGGTTTAGGCGCCTTCCACGGTTTTTGGTGGTAAGTCCCTCCGCTGGACGGGTTGTAGCCCTGGCCCCAGCCCGGGTAGCCGGGGTTGTGGGGGTAGCCGGGGTTGTGGGGGTAGCCGGGGTTGTGGGGGTAGCTGGGGTTGTGGGGGTAGCCGGGGTTTTGGGGGTAGCCGGGCTGGCGGGGGTAGCTGGGCTGGCGGCTGCCCGTGCCCCAGCCGGGTTTGCCTTTGCCCTTCTTGGAGGAGGCGAGGTCGGTGCAGACGCCGAGGAGGAGCAGCAGCAGCAGGCAGGAGGTGCCGAGGAGCCGGGCCATGGCTGTGGGGACAAGAACAGCACCTCCCTCACCGGTGGGTCACAAAAAACACGGCTGGTCCCCTCAAATCCGGCTGCAGAATGAACAGCTTTGGATTAGAGGTGTGTTTATCCCCACCCCAAACCCTTTATTTCTACATAAATATAAAATATTTTTAATATATGTGTATATATATACATATATTAAAAATTATATGTATATGTATATGTACATATATATAAAATTTAGTCATTATTGTATTTATATATATTTTATTTATTATTGTATTTGCATGTATTATGACTATATATATGATTATTTTATTTTTATCTATTTTTATATATTTACATATATGCATATATAGGTATATATGCATATATTTTATATATGTGTATATATCTGTGTATTTTTAATATATTAAAATATGTATATACATTAATTTATATTTTAGTATATGTATATAAATATATGTATCTACATGTATTTATTTTTAATATATGTATAGAAATGTAGGTATATATTTATATTTATATATGTGTGTAGAAATATTTATATATTTTATCTATTTTTGTTGTTGTTGTTTTGGTTTGGGGTTTTTTGTTGTTGTTTATTTTGGGGTTTTTTTTTTAATATATCACCCAACAGGACCCCTGCTGGCAACGGCAGCTTTAAGTGACGAAAGAAAATCTTCTGGGGAGAAAATGTTCCACCTGATTTTGAGATAAAACCCCGCTTATCAAACCCGCCCTACCCAACCTGGGGCAGGACGAGATTCCTGCTGTGCCACCATCGATGCCAAGGATGGATCCAGCCCAGCCCCGAAGCTTTTGGGCTCTCGGTGCTGCAGGGAGGGCAATGCCCAGCCTGGCCCCGGGACGGGGGGTTCTATTCCCAAATTCTGTGTGTTTTACCCAAATTCCTCTTCATTAATGGGCATTTTTGGGATTCAGACTCTGCCAGCATGCGGTGACTCGGTGAATGCCAGTTTGCTGTTGGCATTCCGGGCACCTCCCACACTGCCCGGGGACAAATCCCATTCCCAGGGGGGATAAATCCCATTTCCAGGGGGGACAAATATTTCTGTGGGGGATGAACCCCATTTCTCTGGGGGATAAATCCCATTTCCAGGGGAAAAAAATCCCATTTCCCTGAGGGATAAATCCCATTTCCAGGGGGGATGAACCCCACTTTCACCCCTCTGTGCATAATCCGGCCGGGACAAGGGACAATCCCCACCGGGGCTGCAAATCCTTTGGAAAACACCTCAAAGACCAAAAACCAAAAAAAAGGCCAAGCTGCCAAACCCCTTTAATGCCTCCTGGCAACGCCAAGGGCACTGAGTGGCTGCTGGCCTGGGTTTAATGTTTAAATCCTGGTTTAAAAAAGGGATTTTCCATCCTGCCCGAGGCTGAGCTGCCGCACAAAATCACATTCCCAGGCTGGGTGGGCTTTTCAGCATCCCTGGATACATCTTCCTGCTCGTGGTACAGCAAGAAATAATTTGGTTTGGGTCTTAAATGTATTTTTTTGCAGCGATTATGGAGTTACCCCAGGAATAATCATAATGCAGGCAGGAGATGCTGAACTTTCCTACAGCCAAAAAGGCCAAAGGAGCCCCTGTTGAAGCCAGAAATTCTTCTGTTGCCACCTAGACACGGATTTGTGTGCCACAAAAATCAAATTCATCTCTTTGGGTTCTTAGTTATGCTTTTTCTCCCCTTCCCCTGCAGAAATCTGGGTTTATATCCAGAAATATTTAAATTAAAGGCCCCTTCAAGCTCAGTGGTTTGGGTGGGATCGTTTGCGAGGCCCTAAATAAAACCTCGGGGGGATGCACCCTGGCGATGGGGAGGAATTCCAGGTTTGGGATTTGCTCCTTCTTGGAAAAATCCGGGCTCAAGGAGCCAGGTTCGGGTTCGCTGCCTCCCTCTGGGGGCAGGGATGAGATCAGGGGGGTTAAAAATAGCCAAAAGGCTGGGAAAAACAACCGGCTCCTTGGGTGCTCGGCAAAATGAGCCATGGGGGAGGAAAATCCAGCCAACTGGGCATTTTTAAAATATATTTTTGGAGGTATCTCTCCCCCCCTGTGAGCTCCGAGGGGTTAAAAATCAGACCCTGGTTGAATTAAAAATTAAAAAACCTGGTTGGAGAGGGGTTCTGGCAAAGCACTGCCGTGGTTTTATTGAGGAAATCGTGGGGTTTGAGGCTGGTTCGGGGATCTTGGGGTATCGCAGCGCTGAGCTGCTCCTCTAATTGCCTTTAGAGCTCTGATAAACAGGATACGGGCGCTAATTAGCGAGCCAGGAGCTTCGCCCCAAATAAATGAGTTGTCTGGGCGAAGCCCTGAAGGAGCTGCTTCCTGGGAATCCGGGATTTTCTCCCGCAAAAAATCCCAGATTTCTCGAGATGCTGTTTACTGACCATGACATTAATATTAAATGACAGATCGAGTGACTTCACAGGGATTTTTTTTTTTAAATTTTTTTTTTTAACCTTCCTCCCCTAGATTCGCACAGCCGGCGGATGCTGGAAATGAGGAATTAATTCAGGTGGTTTGTGGCGGAGCTGGTTTTTATCCGTGCTGGAGGAACCCTGCGCTCCCCCAGCGGAAAATGGAGGCTGAGAGCAGCAATTACGTGCTGAGCCTTGGCAAGGAGGAGGTTTCGCTCGGAGGGGAAAAACCAACACCCAAGTGCCAAAATATCACTGGAAATAACCTCGGGGAGGTCCCCGGGGAGGCGGAGAGGGAGAGAAGGGAGGTGGGGAAGGTGGAGGTGAGAAGATGCTCCGGGATGGGGGAGTCCGGACCCTCCTGGGCTGAAAATTCCGGCCTGGGGAATTTTATTTCCCAATTAAATCGGAATTTCCCTGAAAATGTCACCCCTGGGTTTAGAAATCTCCCCCGGCCCCTTTGTCTTTCATTTCCCCAAACAACGGGGGAGCGGCTGGAAGTCGGGGGAAGAGGCAGAACCCTCGGAGAAGAAATTCCCGATGTTGAGTAAACGCTGAGTAAACAAGAACCGGGCAGGAGCAGGGCGCTGGCTTTTAAGGAGCCGCTGGAAATGTCAATTTTTGGTCAGGAAAAGAGGCAGCCCCGCACCCCCGGCGTTCCAACCCCCCTCGCCTTCGGGTTTATCCCTCCCGCAGCCCCCGTGTCCCGTTTTTCCCCGGCACTCACCGGCTGGAAAGGCGCTGCCCGCTCGCTCCGAGGCGATTCAGCCGCGGAGCTCCGCGCAGCAATAAATAGCGAGAGGGAGGAGCTGCTCCCGAGCAGCCCGGCCCCGCTGAGCCCATCATCATCGTCATCCATCGGCCGTCATCCCTCATCCATCCCTATCCCCCGGGAAAGACGCGGACGGCTCCCCGAAATCCGCGGCTTCACCCCGAAGCTTCACCCCAAAGCATCCCCCGGGCGCAGGGAGCGGAGCAGAGGAGAGCCTGGGAAACCGCGGGGTTGTGGTTTTATTGGAGAATTGTCAGGGTTTGAGGCTGGTGTAAAAACCTTGGAAAACTGCAGAACACGGATGGTTTTATTGGAGAATTGTCAGGGTTTGAGGCTGATTTAAAAACCTTGGAAAACTGCAGAACACGGATGGTTTTATTGGAGAATTATCAGGGTTTGAGGTTGATTTAAAATCTGGAAAAACTGCAGAACATGGATGGTTTTACTGAAGAATTATCAGGGTTTGAGACCGATTATAAAATCTGGGAAAACTGCAGAGCACGGATGGTTTTACTGAAGAATTATCAGGGTTTGAGGCTGATTTAAAAACCTTGGAAACCTGCAGAACACGGATGGTTTTATTGAAGAATTATCAGGGTTTGAGTCTGATTTAAAATCTTGGAAACCTGCAGAACACGGATGGTTTTATTGAAGAATTGTCAGGGTTTGAGGCTGGTGATATAATCATGGAATATTGCAGCAGTTGGATTTTATACTGAGGAAATATCAGGGCTTGAGAATTATCAGGGTTTGAGGTTGATTATAAAAGCTGTGAAAACTGCAGAGCACGGATGGTTTTACTGAAGAATTATCAGGGTTTGAGGCTGATTTAAAAACCTTGGAAACCTGCAGAACACGGATGGTTTTATTGAAGAATTATCAGGGTTTGAGGTTGATTATAAAAGCTGTGAAAACTGCAGAACACGGATGGTTTTACTGAAGAATTATCAGGGTTTGAGGCTGATTTAACAACCTTGGAAACCTGCAGAACACGGATGGTTTTATTGAAGAATTGTCAGGGTTTGAGGCTGGTGATATAATCATGGAATATTGCAGCAGTTGGATTTTATACTGAGGAAATATCAGGGCTTGAGGCTGATCTTAAAACCTTGGAAACCTGCAGAACATGGCTGGTTTTACTGAAGAATTATCAGTTTGAGGCTGATTTGAAAATCCTGGAATATCACAGCATTTGGATTTTGTACTGAAGGAGTATCAAGGCTTGGAAAATCCTGGGAAATTGCAGCATCTTGGTGGTTTATTGAAGAAAAACTGAACGGAATGAGGAGGTTTGGGGCCGTTTTGGGAATCTTGGAAAATCACAACGCTTGGAATTTTAATGGAAGATACAGCAGGGTTTGGGGTGGGTTGGAAATCTCCTGGCTGGGAATCTGGGAGAGGCCAGGATGCTTTTAGCAGCTGCTGGCTGCAGCTCCAAATCCATTATCCCATGGAGCAGAGCTGCTCCCAGGGCTGGTGGAGAGGAAATCAAACCAGCCCGGAGCTCTGGGAGAAAGGATGGATTTGCCTTTCAAATCTGTGTCCCTGCAGAGGAGCAGAACTCGCTCCTGCCGTCTCCAGTTGTGCCGAGGAATCCTGAAATTCAACGGGAGGAAACGCCACAGAAAACAAAGAAAAATTCCCATGGGATGGCAAAAACGGGCGGGGTTTGGTGGGTAAAGATACAGCAGTGGAATATACAGAGATCTGAAGACCAGAATGGGGGAGTTCCCCAAATTTTAGGGTTTTCCCAACTTTTAGGAAGTGTCCAGGCCACACCTGGGAGGTGTCCCTGCCACGGATGAGTTTTAAGGTCCCTTCCAACCCAAATCCCAGGATTTTGTGATTTGAACACACCCCAAACCCTCCTGAGGCTGCCCAAACCAGCTGGGCCAGGAATGACCATCCTGGGCCACATCTGGATGGAAAAGGGATTTTTTTCCTCCACAGCCCTGTGATCCATCTGGGTTATGTTCAAATAAATTAAAGTGGTTTCTCCCTGGCAGGGAAATGGGAAAACACAAATGTTAATCCAGGCAGGAGAAAATGGAATAAGCAGGATTGAGGTCTGGGGAAGCCCTGCCCTAGAGGAGGGATTTATTCCGTGTGTGGATGTGCAGATGGCTCCTGGCAGCCTGGTTTGGGTTTAAATGTTCATCCAAATGCCATGCCAGGAAAAGGAAGAAACCAGGAACGGGCTGGCTGAGGGTTAATCCTGCATTAATCTAAAAATCAGGGGTTTGCTGTAATAACTGATTCCAGGAGAACAACAACAAGGGAAAATGATCCATCTGAAAAGAACATTTACTGATAATTGTGCTGTGGCCAACACTGAGAAATAAACCTTTTTTTTTTTTTTTTTTCAAGGAACAGAAATTCCATTTGCATAAACAGAGACACTTTGTCAACCCCCAGCTGCACATCAAGCAGGAGCATGGATTATTAATGAATTTTTAATTTCTTCTGGAAGTCCTCAGGGCTGAAGCCTCCCCTCCAGCGCATCCAGGGCAGCTCTTTAATGGATTTTTGGCATCCCAGGGTAAAATTTCTGTCAGCCTGGAGGCAGGAGCTGCGTTGAGCTCCTCAGGAGGTTTGGTCCTTCTGCATCCAGGGTGGAAATAACGCCCCGGGCCCGGGGCCAGCTCAGCAATCACTCATGGCATGAGTTGTGCTCAGGAAATGCTGACTGCGGTTTTGGGGAGGGAGGAAAGTTCGTCTCCTTCGCGGCCTCTCATTGATTTTGTGTTGGTTTTTATTGCTCGGGTTCATTGAAAGTGTTTTTGTTCAGCCAGCCCTGGCTTTGCAAAGGCAGGGTGAATATTTAACCCATTTGGGGTTAAAATGTCCGTCCATTGGGGTTAAAATGTTCGTTTGTTGGGGTTAAAATGTTCATTTATTGGGGTTAAAATGTTCATCTATTGGGGTTAAAAATGTTTACCCATTGGGGCTGTAAATGTCCATCCATTTGGATTAAAATGTTCATTTTTTGGGGTTAAAATGTCCATCCATTGGGGTTAAAATGTTCATCTATTGGGGTTAAAAATATTCATCCATGGCGTTATAAATGTCCATCCATTTGGATTAAAATGTTCTTTTGTTGGGGTTAAAAATGTTAATTTGTTGGGGTTATAAATGTTCATCTATTGGCATTATAAATGTCCATCCATTTGGATTAAAATGTTCATTTTCGGGATTAAAATGTTAATTTATTGGGGTTAAAAATGTTCATCCATGGGATTATAATTATTTTAGGGTTAGGAATCTTTATCCACAGGGTTAAAAATATTTATCCACTTGGGTTATAAATGTCCATCCATGGATTGTGATTATTTTAGGGTCAGGAATCTTTATCCATGGGTTTTAAATGTCCATCCATTGGGGTTATAAATGGGGTTATGATTATTTTAGCATTAGAATATTTATCCCCAGGGTTATAAATGTCCGTCCTTGGGTTATGATTATTTTAGGGTTAGAAATCTTTATCCATTGGGGTTTAAAATCATTATCTATTGGGGTTATAAATGTCCATCCATGGGGTTAAAAATGTTCATTAATTGGGGTTAAAAATGTTCATTAATTGGGGTTATAATTATTTTAGGGTTAGAATCTTTATCCATTGGGGTTATAAATGTCCCTCCATGGGTTATGATTATTTTAGGGTCAGAAATCTTTATCCATGGGTTTTAAATGTCCATCCATGGGGTTAAAAATGTTCATTAGCTGGGGTTATGATTATTTTGGGGTTAGAATCTTTATCCCCAGGGTTAGAAATATCCATCCATTTGGGTTATAAATGGGGTTATGATTATTTGAGGATTAGAATCTTTATCCCCAGGGTTATAAATGTCCATCCATGGGGTTAAAAATGTTCATTAACTGGGGTTATGATTATTTTGGGGTTAGGATCTTTATCCCCAGGGTTAGAAATATCCATCCATTTGGGTTAATAATGTCCATCCATGGGGTCAAAAATGTTCATTCATTGGGGTTACGATTATTTTGGGGTTAGGATCTTTATCCCCAGGTTTATAAATATCCATCCATTGTGGTTAAAAATGTTCATTAATTGGGGTTAAAAATGTTCATTAATTGGGGTTATAATTATTTTAGGGTTAGAAATCTTTATCCCCAGGTTTATAAATATCCATCCATTGTGGTTAAAAATGTTCATTCATTGGGGTTACGATTATTTTGGGGTTAGGATCTTTATCCCCAGGGTTAGAAGTGTCCATCCATGGGTTACAAATGGGGTTATGGTTATTTTGGGGTTGGGATCTTTATCCCCAGGGTTAGAAGTGTCCATCCATGGGTTATGATTATTTCAGGATTCCCTCCATGGGTTATGGTTATTTTGGGGTTGGGATCTTTATCCCCAGGGTTATAAAGGTCCCTCCATGGGTTATGATTATTTTGGGATTAGGATCTTTATCCCCAGGGTTAGAAATGTCCATCCATGGGTTACAAATGGGGTTATGGTTATTTTGGGGTCAGGATCTTTATCCCCAGGGTTATAAAGGTCCCTCCATGGGTTATGGTTATTTTGGGGTCAGGATCTTTATCCCCAGGGTTAGAAGTGTCCCTGGAGCTGCTCCAATCTGCTCAGGGCTGCGCTGAGCCCTGGCCCCACGAGGATAAGCTCCTTACCCTGCTGCCACATCCAGGCCTGGGCACGGCGTCACCTGCACGGGACACAGCCCCAGAAATGCCTTTGGTCCCTCCCAAACACAAAAACAGCTTTTATTAAAAAAAAAAAAATAACATTATAATGTTCGTTTGGGGGGAAAAAATTGAATTTAGG